CTTACTAAACCATCTTACCTTTCTTAATGTTTCTTTATTAATATTAAGATGCTTCATCCATTTTTCCTCTACTTTATCCCTTGAGATGATTCTTGGGCAAAGCATCCTATAGGTGGATTTTACTGATAATGTGTGGAGAGCACAGGAGTACTTTGTGTCTTTCTTTCTTGTATTGGACCACTTCCAATTGACCGGATCTAAGGCCAGATGACTTATGGGTGTTTTAGGTTTAAAAGTTATCCATCTATCTTTTTGCCTCAGTACTCTGACCCTGAATAACTGATCTTTTGTCACCCTCCTTATACTGTTCTGGTCATTAATTATTATATTGAGGTTGCTATCCATTTCATATGTGGTGAGGAGAATCTCCCCTCTATCCAACACTGCAACAATATTACCTAAGACATTTGGATGATCTTTTATAGCCACCCAATCACTTTCCATTAACTGAGGTCCCTTTTTCAAAATCCTTACCCAATCCAATGGTATCCAATCGATTATATTTTCTAAGGCTTTCTCAGAATGATGACAATATCTAAGATGAGTCTGTAATTGTGCGGTTGTGATCCATTCTTTTTTTTCACTGTCCCAGATATCTTTTATCCTAACAATACCATTTTTAACCCACCCCTTCCAGGGGGAATCCATACAGTGAACAACACAACCCTGGGGATCTTTGAGAAGGATATTATCAAAGAGTGGCTGTTGACTTACTTCCTCTCATCTTTCACGAGGATTTGGATCTGTTAGTGGCAATTTCCTCCATGTTTTGATGAGATTAGGCCAAAATGCATCGTTATGCAAGTCCATTCTTGCCGCTCTCCTGTCTGATACACATTGGTCAAGTAGTCCATTCAATGTACCTTTTGGTATAGGCCACGATCTATTTTCTAACCACATCATGGGATCTATGTCATCTGGTGTTATCGGGGCTAGGCATCTAATCTGTTCCCATGCCAACTTACTCCAAGGGGTCTGGGGATTAAAGAGTAGGCGTTTAATCCATTGAACTGATAAGGCCATGACTTGTAAAGAAGGATCAATGATACCCAATCCTCCTCTAGTCTTAGGTTGTATCACCGATTGCCATGCCACCCTACTAATTACCTTATCAAGCTCATGCTTTCCTCTCCATAAAAAGGCTGATAGTTGACGTTGCAGAGCCTTTAATACTTTCTTATCCAGGGCCCATATTGCTGATTTATACCAGATCGAGGCTAAGACCACATTGTTAATCACCAGAGTGCGCCCAAAGAGAGAGTTTTGTTTGCCCTTCCAGAGTTCCAACTTAGCATATGCTTGTTTAGTTATACTCTCATTGTTGGTTGATGGTTTTCCTGTTGCTGATAGGGAAATTCCTAATACTCTAATGGGGGTATCTAATGGGAGTCATTTCACTTTAGGGAATTCAGGGGGTCTTACTCCTTGATGATGAATCCACCAACCCATCGTCTTGTTACCCCAATTAACCCTCATATCAGACAGCCTACAAAACTTATCCATTAGCCTGCTTATTTCCTCTAAATTCTCCTTTGATGCTTCTACCATCAGGGAGAGATCATCAGCAAAGAGGGAGCAAACAGGAATGGCTTCCTTTGGAATAGATGACACTTGAATTCTTTTAATGTCTTTATGTTGTCTAAGGTTAACTGCTAGGGCCTCCATAATTATGACAAACAGAAATGGGGCAATTGGGTCTCCTTGTCTTACTGATCTCTATAAGGAGATAGGGGGGGCTAAATTACCATTTACCATTACCCTAGTGGTAGCATTCTTATGCAGTATTTTCACCCATTTTCTGAAGTTTGGACCAAAGTTAAATTTTTCTAAGCATTTGTATATAGATATGTATTAGTAACAATAAAACAAAGATGTTGAAGAATGTCAGACACAAAAAGAGTGTCAGCTCCCATATTAGTTGTCCATTCTCTTGCACGCGGTCCACGGACCACCATATGAAGAGCAACACGGGATGAGCGTGTCCGTGTATGCTGCCGTGCCTGTGCAAGAGCATAGGCATGTGCCTCATCAACAGCCTTAGCAACATTGTTGAGAATCCATTGATGAGAAAGATTAGCATACATGGTAGTGAAATCGACCGTATGAGGGGCCAGACCTCGGAGAGAAGCTTTATTGTTTTTGAGGTCAAGCATGACCTCGTCACTGCTCTGGACAATCCAACATCATTGAATACCTTCGGATTGGAAGAGTTGATTATCTTTTTCGCGAAGAGTATGGATGACGCCTTGAAGTGCCACACTCAAACGAGCCGAGGTAGGTGTTGTACTTGCAACAAGCTTGTGAGGCAGTCAGTGATGCAAACGGTGGACTCATTGGGAGGGGCGCAGGTCACTCCGCTGGGCCACATGAGAAGAAGAAGAAAGATTGTTACGGGCAGTGATACCTAGAATAGTACGGAGTGTAGGAGAAGACTTATGGGCCTTAAGAGCACAATAAAGATACGGCAATGTGCCAGCATGGGGATAATTCCAATGATTGTTCCAAAGTGCATGGCTATTCAGAATGTCGGCAGCTGTTTCAGTGGGCCGAGAATACGTACGACTGTCAAGATGAGCGGAAAAACGGAAGCGATACCAGTTCTTGCAACAAATAGCCAGATTGTGCGCTGTTTTGTCCGCAGGAACAATCGCAAAGGAGTCTTGGAGCTGACGTAGGGCCGTATGTGCGTGTCGCAAAGAGCGAGGCTGTCGAGAAGGTGATGCGGCAGCCATATTGGACTCACAGTGATGCAAAACTGCGGCACGCCAAAGAGCCAATTGTGGAGCAAGGGTAGCAGCGCAGGATTGTCGTGATGTCGGACGAAGACACACAGCAATATACTGATCAACACCAACAGCCAGTGCTTCAAGTATATCCCCCACTACCCCATTCAGCCGATATTTAGAGCCCTCATAGAATAGGCAACAAAGGTTAGCATCCGGAATCACATCATAGTTGGCGGAAACAACATGGTCGTCAACCAGATCGGTGCAGTTAGGAAAGGCCCGACGACAAGGACAATCAGCAGCAGCAGGAAGGTGCAGGCCCGGAGTAACATTCAAGGCAACTTCCGTAAAATTACAAAATTGCACCCTTGTTGGGGGTACAAGTTTGTCACAGATGCGAATAGTGCTGGCTGCCTGAGGGTCAGGGTGCAATGCACACACATCCGGAGAATGCAACACATGGCACAGCCTAGTGGCCGTCAGGATCTCGTGCATAAGTACTATCCTGATATAGTTTCCGAAGGTGTCACGGGAATGGGCAGTATATCGCTGTCGGGCATGTTGAAATCGCCGAATAATGCATTCAAGTTCACGAACGTCCGCAGTCATGTCAGCATTAGAAAATTTTATATACAGAGTATGTAAATCCATTTATAGTGCATATGTACAAGCGAGCACGCCAAGCGGGCGTAGCCCGCTGAGTGGAAGCAACAACTTTGGACCAAGTACTCGCTGGGTTGGCTACATTCATCTCTCAAATTCACTTTTGCTACCTACCTACCACTACTCCTAAGCCTATACAGGGGACCCGTGCAAGCATAGCTTACCTCTCCCAATCAAGGGGATGCAAGCTGCCCCCCACCCTAATCAGCGGTGTGGCTAACACACAAAGACTGAGCATTTTGCCAATAGATGCGCCTCACAGCTACTTCCTCCGCCGCCATCGAGTAACAGCAGTGTCTAAGGCCAACACTCTCCCACACACGACACACAAGCGACACATACCCACACACACACACGTGTTGGCTATGGACCCTGCCGATTCCAACTAGGGGGAGGAAGCCAAGTATCTTACTCGGTCGATACCAAGCGCACCCTTGGTGGTCGGTGGGAATCGAACCCATGACCTCCTGAATGCCACTTGCGTGCTTAACCAACTGATCTAGGTCAGTTGCTCTTTTGCTGCCGACATTTGTTTGCCTCCAACAGATTTTTGTTTCATTCTTTAAATATTTTTCTGGCAAAGATCACCATGCAATCTATGACCCTATTTTCTTTCAGATTTTTTTGGCAAATGCAATGACCCGGGTTCAGATCCAGCACAGAAACATGCATCCAAAGTCAAGTCAAGGCTAGGCATGAGAAATAGGGCTGCAGGGTCCCAGAGTCCCTCGGAATGGCCCTCAATCCTACAGAATATGGTCTAGTCCTTGATGCAGTCAAAGTCCTTTGGAATGAAGACCCCTACAGAGTCAAAGAATGGGGTAGAACCAGAGGAGGAAAGTCTAAGGTTCGTAGCTTTTGACCCACCAAAGTTCAGGGGTCAACAGTTGATCCTACAGACTCTCATAAGTCTCTGGAACTGACATGAAACCCATACAGACATGACTAGGGGTCGTAACCTTTGGACAGGTCAAAGTTCTAAGGTCCAAAAGTCACTCCCCTGACTCTGAAGAGGCATCAGAATGTCCCTTGGTGAATAGGCACTGAGTCAAGGGTGAAAATGAAGCCCTAGAGTCACAAGTAAACTCTAGGAGAGTCAACAGTCAAGCCCTGCCTGGGCACAGCAATCAAAAGTCAAAGATTTCCCAGGAGTCGACCACGGCCACAAATCTCACGCAATCGAAAGGCTCAGAGCAGTTTCCAGAAGTTTCCAAGGGCCACTGGGTCTAAGCACACGCTGGTCGTGAGCAAATCTGGGCCACACATCCGGAAATCTCAGCCCTTCGAGGAGGCAGATAGAGGCAGGTCAGGCCGAGCAAACACTATAAAATAGTGGTCTGCACCAGCTTATGGATTCATTCTGCCTTGTGCTGCTACAGTGCACGCGCTACAGTGTGCGGCTACAGTGACGTGCTACAGTGCGGCACGGTACAGTGCACTGCTACACTGAGTCCGAGAGAAGGCAAACAATGCGTGAGAGGCTTCCATGGCAAGAGTGAGGGAGAGTGGTAGCCATAGCCAGTAGAAGGCGCTGATGCACCATAGCTACAAGAGAGAGGAGAGTGGAGATTCAAGGTAGAGCCCAAGGCTTGGGGGGAGGAGGAAGCTTACCTGGAGACTGCGCCAACTCGGAGAGTTCAGCCATAGCTGCTGCAGAGAAGACCAGTGGTTGCATGTGGCTCCACATTCTTCATCCAAGACTCAAAGGTGGCTTTGTGGACTAGAGCTTGTCTGGCACCATAAAGAGGAGGGTGAGGGGTGGAGATAGGAAGGAGGATGCAACCATTGCACAACAAGGGTTGGCAAGAAGGTGTAGGAAACTTACTTGTTGACTGGCGGCCACAGCAACCTGAGGAAGAAGACTCCAAGAGGAGGGGAACCAGAGTTCATCATCCACCACTTCATCCTGTTGGTGCTTGTGCTATACAAAGAGGATGGCACTTGTGCTAGTGAGGTCAAGGAATGAGAGAGAAGGTCACACCATAGCCTCAGGGAGGCAATGTGGTCGTGATTTGGAGGAAGAAGACTCCATGCTGCCGTAGAAGATTGCCATTGTCATTTCCAGTTCCAGCTTCATTGTGCTAACCTGGGCTAGCAGCGCTGTAGAGAGGTTGACTTGGCAAGTGACATTGTGTCCAGACTGGTGGTGACGTCATCGAGATATCCAAGCCATGCGTGCGTTGAGGTGGTGAGAAGGGTTCCCGTGGCAGAAGAGGGAGAAGCAGTTTGAACATTTTACTGATTATTTTTATACATACATCTTGAAAAAACTCCATAGTTTTGATCTCTTCTTCTTCGCATAGTCTTATCTTTCAATCCTGTCTCAATTTGCTTGTTATCATTGAGTTCAGCAGTGTACGTTCATGTGAGATTTGATTGTAAGCTTCTGAAGTTGGGTTTATTCCACAAATATTATGAGCACGAAAAACCGCCAAAGTTGGCACACTCTTATCTTTGTGAGCCGCGGCCTAACCCCCACAGGTGAAACAGGGTGTGGGCCTCGACCACGCCTGGACCTCAACCACTTGCACCATTTCAATTTTTAATGGGGGCTCGTTGCCAAAAATTCCAGGATGCACTTTGACCAGTCCTCCGCACAACAGTCAGTCCCTACATACCCCCCTCCAAACCCCTCCCCAAAGGTGCACACCTTTTGCCCTGCCCATTTGGTGGCCGTATGGAGCACCATTGGACCCCGCATTGAAAAAAAAAAAGGGCCTCAGATGTAGAAAATCATCCCAATCGGCTGTGAACATTCACACCTTTTACAGACACTTTTCCTGTTCTTCCCTTCACAAGGAAAAAGAGGAGGAGGAGGAGGAGGAGGAGGTTTTGTGCTTTCAGGACTGCTGTAATATCACGGCCAAAGATGTCTTATCCATAAAATGATTCAGAATCCTGTCAACATAGCATCCGTCTCTCTTTTTCTTTTTAAATTGCACAGGGGCCATGCTCAGTTGGTTAGGCACGCAAGTGGCATTCAGGAGGTCAAGGGTTCAATCCCCACTGACCACCTGCGCACTCTTGGTGCCAACCAACTGAGATAGTTGGCTTGCTCCCCCCATTTAGGTATTGGTAGGGTCTTTGGCCATCACGGGCGGGTGTGCGTGTGTGTGAGTGGGGATTACGTAATAATTGACGACGGAGAATTACCGCTGGATTACGTGGTGATTGATAGAGCATTGCCACTGGATTTCTGTCCATGTGGCCAACCCCTCGCATGTTGGAAGGGAGCCCCCAAGGGCCTCCCTCCACAGCTCAATATTTTAAATGTATCTGGAATTGTTAGTGCTCCATTTAAAGGAGGGAGAGAGAGAGAGAGAGAGAGAGAGAGAGAGAGAGAGAGAGAGAGAGAGAGACCATGATCTCGGCGCTCATGCAAGCAGAAAATCAATCACCAAGTGATCCACCCAAATATGACGTCAGATTGTCAGGCAAAGCAGGTTCTTCGTGTGGCCAGCGAAGCAGGCAGATATGACAGCTATCTTCTTCCCCAAAATACAATGTACGGTCATTTTTGCTGCATCTGGACTGAACGGCCAGCCAAATACGGCTATAATGGCCGTACGTTCTATTCGGGGGACGACCGTAGACATCCACCAACCAACTCACGCACCGGGCCAAGGAAGAACCCGGTCACCACACCTTGCACCGACCCACGTACCCACGCACCCCCGCACCCACCCAACCCACCCACCCAATCACACACCAACCCATCACCACCAGCCAATCACCTTGCCTGGCAGCCTGTCATCAAGTCAGCCGGGGACTCGAGCAACCTTCCCGACAAACATCGCCCTTCAAGCTGCACGCCAACCCAACCTTTCCAACCGCGCGCCAAGCCAACCTTTCCAACTGCGCGCCAAGCCAACCTTTCCGACTGCGCGCCAAGCCCATTGTTAAGCTGAGTGATAAATATATATCTATCCACGTTGCCCAATAGTCCAAGAATTTTCTTGTGATTTCCTTTTTTCAATTTAAATTGAATAAGATGATGTTACACAATTCGAGTTCACTGATCCCTCTGGAATTCCAAAGCCGTTTTCGAAGTCCAAACATATTTTAAAAGTAAACTAAGCAGCACGGGGGATTCCCGGTCGGATAAATTGATCGGAATATATCCGGCCTCCGGTTTTGGTCGAAAGAAAGGGGGGGGGGGGGAATCAGGTCGGGGGATGGATTGAGCTTCAAGTTCTCTAACCCCGGTCTGGAAATTGGGTGATTCCATAAGATGGATTGATTGATTGACTGATTGATTGATTGATTGATTGATTGATCGATTGGTTGATTGATTGATTGATTGATTTCGAATCTTGGATAGATTGATTGATTGTCTCCTAGCGTTGGAAATGGGTGCACAGACACACACACACACACACACACACACACACACACACACACACACACACACACACACACACTTCACAGATTGGTAGCTGACAGACATAAAGTAAAACTGTCAAAGTGAAAGCTAGGCCCGCGCGCACACACGGACACACATACACAGACCCGTACCCAAAGTGTGGCACAGGCACACGCATCATCACATGTCCTCCTCACACACACACACACATGGTAACTCCAATAAATAGACATGCTAAACACCCCCACACCTCCCCCCTCTCTCTCTCCCTCTCCCGACCCTTCCCGCCCTGGCCCGACCCTCGCCCTCAATCAATCAATCAATCTAACGAGCCTTTCTTCGTCACCCTCCCCGCCCCTTTTGTCTGGCGGGGATTGATTGATTGATTGATTGCTCGTCACCCTTCCCCCCCCCCCTTTGTCTGGCCTCCCCCTCCCACGCCGTCTTTTCTAAGATTTCTTTCAAAAAAAAAAAAAACGCCCCGGCCCCGACCCTTCTTCCTCGTGTTATTCTTATTATTCTTATTATTATTATTATTATTCTTTTCCATCATTCCCCGAATCTTTTCCTCCCCCTCGTCAGAACTACCTCCCCCTAATCCCCTCCCACGCCGCCTTTAAAAAATAAAAATAAAAAACGGCCCGGCCTCGACCGGTCTTCTTCTTCTTCTTCTTCTTTTTCTTCTTCTCCTTCTTTTTCTTCTTCTTCTTCTTCTTCTTTTTCTTCTTCTTCTTCCTCTTGTTCTTCTACTTCGTCCCCCCCATCTATTATCCCGCCCCCCCCCTTTCCCTCCTTTCTCCCCCCAATCCTCCCTAATCCTCCCTCCTCGCCCCTCACCCGAACCTCTCTCTCACTCTCCCGACCTTCCCCGCACTGGCCCGACCCTCGCCCCCCTCCACGCCCCTGTCTGGAGGGGATTGATTGATTGATTGGTTGATTGATTGATTTATCGACTTATTGATTGATTGATTGATTGATTGATTGATTGCTCGTCACACTCCCCCGCCCTTTTGTCTGGCCTCCTCCCGCGCCGCTTTTCCTAAGCTTCCTTCATTAAAAAAAAAAAACGAATGCCCCAGCCCCGACCCTTCTTCCTCTTCCTCTTCCTCTTCTTCTTCTTCTTCTTCTTCTTCTTCTTCTTCTTTGTCCCCCGAATTTTCCCCCCCCCCTCCTCATTCTTCCCCCTAATGTCCCTCCCACGCCAAAAATAAAAAAAGGCCCGGCCCCGACCTTTCTTCTTCTTCTTCTTCTTCTTCTTCTTCTTCTTCTTCTTCTTCGYCCCCCCTAWCTAACCCCCCCCCCCCTTCCCCCCCCCTTCCTTTCTCGGCCCTCTATTCTCAGACTGGTCGAAATGTTGGGTGGTGCCGTAAGACGGATCTGGGGAGAAGCCCCCTGAGGAGTGCCAGGAGCGCAGCCTGGGCGAAACGCGTCGGGGATTTGCGCGTTTTTCAACTGAGAACTGTACATGCGGAGAAGTATTGAAATATCTTGTCGATGCGTGTGCGAGAAGCAGTCTATGGCCACTGTTTTCATTATTCTTCCTCTTCCTCTTGTTCTTCTTCTACTTCGTCCCCCCTGTTTATTATTCCCGCCCTCTTCCTTTCTCCCTCTAATCGTCCCTAATCCTCCCTCCCTGACCCTCGCCCAACCCTCTCTGGCCCTCTACGGACCCTCCCCGGCCTGGCCCGACCCCTCCCCGATACTCGCCCGACCCTCTCCAACCCTCCCCTGACCCTCCCCCGACCTCTCCAACCCTATCCCGACCTTCCCCGACCGTCGCCTGGCCCTCCCCGATACTCGCCTGACCCTCTCCAACCCTCTCCGACCCTCTCCGAACCTCACCCGAACCTCCGCTGCCTGGCGCCAACCTCGCCCGACCGCGTTCCGTTTTCATAACTTTTTTTTTTTTAATCAATCAATCAATGATCAACCAATTTAACGATCGAAAACGATCGTTAGATTGATTGATTGATTGATTGGGAAGGAAGGAGGAGGATTACGCGGGGGGCGGAGGACGAAGAAGAAGAAGAAGAAGAAAAGGCGAGTTTTGGGGTGTTGAGAAGCACTGTAGAAGAGGGGATGCAAGGGAGCGACGAGGTTTTTTTTTCTTTCTTTTCAACCACCCATCCATTCATCCATCAATCAATCAATCAACCAATAGCAATCAATCAATCAATGAGGCAATGAAGCAATCAATCAATCAAACTATTGATTGATTGATTGATTGGTTGGTTGCTTGATTGATTGGTTGATTGATTGATTGATTGATTAATTGATTGATTGATTGCTAATGATTGATTAATTGATTGATTGATTGCTAATGATTGATTGATGATT